GACCCCATTTACTGCTAGGCCTCCAAAAGCCTGCAGCAATTCCTAGCTGAAAGGGGCAAGGGTAACTGATGACTCTTTTCTAGACTCATCTTTAAAGAGAATGAAGGCCTTCTGGCAATAATAAAGAATATAAGGTAAGGATTTGTTAGAAGACCCTCTTGGAAAAGGTGCTGTGGTTGAAGGCCTGGGCACCCTCGCCCTTTAGAGGAACACAGGCTCATGCTGAAGTCTGGAGGGGGGGCATCTGAGCGATGCGAAGGCAACAGGAAGCCAAGTAACAAGGTTTGTACGTAAACTTAACTCTTCTACATTTCCTCCTTGGAACTACCCTCTGTCTTTCCCGATGCCTCGCCCAGCAGGTTCTCTTTCTTAATAATTGGGCACAAAATCTGGTCAACTAAACCAGGGTCTGTATCAGCCACAGTCGGGTTATACTTCGTCGCAGCCCAGACTACATTCTCAGCCCAGACCTGAGAATGTAGAGCTTTCTGAATTAGTATATACTTCGCAGGGTAACTGCAAAAGATAATCTCATGTTCATCACAGCTCAGCTAATACAAAAGACTGTGAAACACAACAGGATTCTGTTTATTTAAACAGGTCTTATATTTAAAACCCACGAGAGATCTGCAAGTACATAATCTGATTTTAGGTTTTGTCCATTTCAAAGCTATGACAGTGTAGCATCAGGAATGGACACAGTGAAGGTTTTCTAGGATCCAGCAGACCAGGTAAAGGAGGAGCCAGAGTCCTCAGTGGTTTTTTTGCAGGTCTTTTATTGGGATTACCAGGTACATGGCAGGCAAGGGTGCTGGGGGGCCGGGAAGCTGGCAGACCTCCCAGCCTCCAGCAAGTCTTCACTCTATCTGGGCTCACCAGCCTTCTCTGCTTCTCTCTCGGCTTCTTGGCTTCTGCTGGCGTCCCCGTGACGCCGCCCTTAAAAGCCCAGTCTTAGCCCAGGTGAATCCCATCTGCCTATGCCCACACCCTACTCCAGGTGCCCACCATCAGGCATGCATTCAGGACCGCAAGGATCCATCATCTATCCTGATGGCAGGAGGGCAGAAAAGCCTGACATTTTTCCTTACCCTACAGTCATTCAGGCTTGACATTGAATGTATCCCTAATGCTTTCCCTAGCTCTCCTTTCTTTTAAACCAGCCACTTTCATTTGAAGCACTTAAGCACCTTTATTGTAATGCTGAGTGTGTTTCTGAGTTCCAATAAACTTCCTGTTGGGCATTTAGAACAGTTGCTGGTGTCTTCTCCCAGATGTATGTAAGACTCTCCTTTTTATTTCAGTTATCTAAGAGATGCCAGCTTCTAGAGAAGCATTTTCTGATGATCCCATATAAAATACTAAGTCTTCAACACAACCCCACTCCAAATTACCCCTTACCCTGCTTTATTCCCCCTCCCCACCCAGCATTCATCTTTACATGACGTATCATGTATTTGTTAAGTGACTTCCTTCGATTAGTGTAAGAAGGGATTTTGTTTTCTTGGTTGTGGATTCCCAAACACTATAGCCGTGACTTCTTCATAACAGATTCTTGATAAGCCTTCATTAAATGTGCTCCAAGATTTCAAAGGCAATCTTCATTTCACTTCATTGCCAGAAAGTGATAGCTTTAGGTAAAAAAAATACCTTATTCTGGGTAAAAGGACCATTTTTCAACTATGTCACACCTTAAGATCTAGATGGACTGCCTCCCTGATCCCCAAAGCAATATTTTTTAAAGAAAACTGTATGCTTATTTCACCCATACATTCCATATTTTGACACTGTAACCATTTCTGAATGAGATTATCCTTTAAGTCCAAAATAAACTCAAAGGCATTTCCTGAAGTCTTTCAATAACCTGTACGCCATGTGACAGTAGGAAGTTTGCCTTTTACTGTTGGGCACAGGGGCATATTTGGAACACAGCAGGAGAAAAATTAGATCCATACTTGACCTCGATGAATTTTGTTTCAGAGATCTGGTAATCACAAACTAAAGTTAGACAGAACTTCAGGCGCCAGCCCAGGCAGAAGAGTACACCCGTCATCAGAATGTGCACAAGCAGAACACGTTGTACCTGTGTGCCAGGGGTGTCCTCATTTGCCAGCTGAACACCATCGGAACCTGATCACTTTCCTGCCTGACTCTTACTCTGTTAGATCAGGAACTGACCACATGGAGAACATATGAATACTATATATTTAAAAAAAAAAAGCTCAGGATTAAAATTTATAATTAGTGGTTTCCCTCCCAATTAGTGAAAGACATTTGGATACAGGGATGGGTATTCTGTTATCAGAAGGATACTCATTCCTACCACCTTATTTTAGAATTAAAACCCAGGTGAAGATGATAATGCTGAATGAGAAGAAGGAAGAGTGAGAACAGTGGGTGTGATTTAAGGACAAATCAATTATAAACCATTATTTTTTTAAAGTCCAAATAATTCATTTAGTGGGTGCATGTTTTTTTTCTTTTTTTATAACTTACAATTTTTATTTATAATTTATTTAGTGTATGGTATTCAACAACTCAATTTCCAACAGGGGTGTGGCTATGGAGGCTTCCTCACACCAACAAGCATTCCAAGCCACCTGAGAGGCAGACATAAGCCCCAGGCATGTCTCTGCTTCTGACCAACTGGCTATTGATCAGAGGTTCCCCTCTGGTTAAAGCACCTACCTCAGGCTGGGTTAATGTGCTTGAGTAGCATACAGAACTCAGGAAACCTATTTACTCACTAGATCACCAATTTATTACAAAGGGTACTAAAGAATACAAATCAACAACCAAATGCAAGAGATGCAAAGGGCTAAGTATGGGGAAAAGGGTTTCCGTGCCCGCTTGGGGTGCAACATTCTCCCCCAAGTCTTCACATGCTCACCAACTTGGAAGCTCTTTGCCTCTTGGGCTTTTTGGGAGCCTTCATTTCATAGGCAGGAATGAGTAAGTCATTGTCTATTGGCAGTGACTGAGCTCCACCTCTAGTCCCTCTTTCCCAAGAAATCAGGGAGTGGGGTGCTGGGGAGTCCTACCTGCCTTTCATGTTGGTTTCCCGGGCAACAAACTACCCCTCCCCTCAGATGCTTTCCAAAAGTTAACTTCATTAACATAAGAAGAGACACCTTTCACACTTTCAACTCTTAAGAAATTCCAAACACTTGGGGGAGCTGTGAGATAGAAACTATGTTTAAAGACCAAATATATATGAGAAGTATTTATTTTGGTCAATAGAATGACTAAAAAATATACTTCTGATAGGTCACAGTATGACAGAAGGCATAAGTTATAAGTATGATAAGGCAAATTAATGAAAAGCTACCCTACCCAATCAATTGATATTATGCAATTATGTTAAAAAGCACAAATAAACATGTTTCTGGTTGCTGAAGAAAAGGCATATTCTAGGTATATAATAAAATACTACTCAGTCATAAAAAAAAGATGAAATTCTTGCTATCTGTGACAACATGGATGGATCTGGAAGGGCTTATGCTAAGAAAAACCAGTCAGAAGGAGACAGAAAAATCTGGTTTCACTCAGATATGTAATATAGAGAAAAAAAAAGACCCAAAGGGCCAGAACAGAGCAAAGTGATAGTAAACCTTAGAAATATGACTGTAAAATTGAGGCCACCAGAGGGGCAGAGGGAGGTTGAGGAGCAAAGGGGGAGGAGCAGTGTATTTTGGGGGAGGACTATGGGTGCCTGATGTTGGGTGTGATGTGGTAACACCCAAAGTGCCATATAGTGCTGTAAACCAATGTTATCTTAGTTAAAAAAAAAAAAGCCTCTAACCACATTAAAAAAGAAGGCACATCATTGGTATCCTTAATTTTTTGAGACTTCAATTTGAAAGACATCTTTAATTTTGTCTTTTTTAATTTATTCCTAAACCCTTAAAATTTTTCATGAGTTAAATTTTACTCAATAATAATTCTGTACCTATGCTTTTTCTGTGCCTACATTGTTGAAAATTTCAGCCTAGTGTCTAAATCACTGAGGTTTATCATAGTGAATTCTACTCTGTAGACCTCAGTGTCTTATCCTATAAAATGAGAAGTAGACCTGAAGATCACTGAGCGCCCTCTCTATTTTAGGAAACTCTTATTTTTTTTAAAGATTTATTTATTTATACAAGCACTGGGGTATAGGCCAGAGGCATGGGAGGGTGACAGAATCCACCAGAGACAGAGCAGAGAGCAGAACAGGTATGAAGGACCAAAATACACTGCTGAGGGGAGCAGCAGGCACAACAGGAGAGGTCTGCAGCGCCATGTGGGATTCTCCCTGGCAGGCAATCGAACCAGCACAGCTTCACAGCACTATGTTCAACCTGCTGCGCTACCAGGGAAGGCCCAGGAACCTCTTACTTTCTGCTGGGAGTTTTATATGCAAATGCTGATGGACAGGTAGCTCTCCTGTTTGGAAAAAGGTTGGAAGGATGGATACTTTAAGGATGATCTGGATGATCACCCAACTTGGAGACTGGTTAATTAGACAGCAATTAACAGCATATGCGGAAAAGTTGCTATGAGGCTTAACAAAGTCACCCATTTGCCAAACATTTTGTCACTATAGCTTTGCAGATGAGCTTATTTTTAAAACTTTTCCATCTATAGGAACTTCTTTTATCATTGAACAAAAATAAACTGTTGTATTTACAAATTTTGCCACTGTTTTCAGTCTAGAAAAGTGTTCTCAACCAGGAAGATTTTCTCATCTAGGTGGCATTTGGCAGTGTCAGGGTTATCTCGTCAGGGGAGGTGTGTTACTGGCATGTAGTGGGTAGAGAACAGGAATGCTTCTAAACATTCTATAATGTACAGGACAGCTGTACATTAAAAGAATAAAGAATCATTTGGCTGACCATGCCAGTAGTTCCAAGACTGAGAAATCTAGGTCAATAGAGAGCAGCTGGATGGATGGTAGTCAGCCAAGTCCACATTAGGCAAATGAAAATAGAAGCCCTGGCACATTCCTTGTCCTTTTGTTACAGATGCATCTCTGTGAAAGGGGGAGGAGCATTACAGAGCTGTGAATGGGTGCGATTTTCCCTGCCCCCACTTACAAGTGGCCAGACTGGACTACAATTCCCACGATGAATTGGGAGCGTGAAGTGGATATATACATGGAGGAGGAACCAAGGAGAGACACGTGGAGAGGCTACTCCTAGGACATTAGTGTTTTGGCAGAGACAATGGCGGCTATTATCTTGATCAAAAGGTACATTTTGAATTTTGGGTCTTTCCTGTCCCAGCTTTCTGGGAACTGTCTAAACTCTTTCCTGTGTTTTCCCACCAGAAGGTACCTGAAACTTGTGGCGAGCTTTCAGCCTTTGGGGCAAGCCTGTTTGGCTGGGCATTTGCCCATGAGGGGACAGGTAATTTTTGGAGTTTGATTAGGAATCTGTTATTTATAATCCTTTCTTCTCTATGTACACCAGTTAAAAATCTTTCGCACTGAGTCTGTTTTCTCTGCCTTTTGCATGTGGGTCGCTGAAACCTTTTATGACATGCAGCCCTTAACACTTTGGGGGTCCCTGGGTACCTTGCACATTTTCAGTCTCATGGAAATTCCTTTCCATGAGTTACATTTTCGGCCTCATGGAAATTCTTCATATTCATTTATGAGTGTGTTAATGGGAAGCTTAGATAGTAGTGAAGTGAGAGAAAAATTAATTTAGATGTAGGTAAAACTTAATAAGTGGATACCTTTCTCTGGACATATTTTTAAAAAGTTGATAGGTCACTACTTCTTTATAAACATTGTTGAGCACTTTGATGTGATTGGATCCTATTCAAGCAACAGTGCTGGGTTGAGTCTCATTTCAACCTAACTGCTTGCAGCCGGCCACAGATTCACTGTGGTCAGTACTGAGTTAACACTCTCCTCCCAGTATGAGGATCAGTCTTCTACACAGAGCACAAAGCATGCTGGATATGTGAACAACTATGACATTGTTAATGACAGAGTAGGGCTCTGCAGTCTGTCCTCCAGGGGATAAGCCAGTTTAGGAGACCACTTAAACAATTCAACACTTTCCACTTTAAACTCCAACACTTCTAAATGGCTTTCATTATGAATTATTCTAAAATGTACCCCACACACCTTTGTCTTCTGCAGCAGATGATAATGTAATTTGATCTTTCCTTGACGGTTTTAACCACAAGGAATGTCAACACCACCACCACTTTGCCAGGAGGGACAGAAATAGGGGTTCAATCAGGTGTCTACTTCACTAAGGTTCTTGTAGCCTTGGTGGCCACCTGGTAAGTAACACTTGCTAATGTTGAGCTCCCTGACCTCACAGAGCCACCAGAGACTGCACAAGCTTGCACTTGACTTGTACAACTGTGTTGCTGGCAGGAAAGAAGAGGTGCTATTTCTTGATTTGGACAAAGGAGTCAAGGTGAGCTAGGCAACTCTGGCTGTGAACGTAACCAACTGGGTTATTCGGACAAAATTCCAAAGTTGGATTTCTTTCTTTTTTTTTTTTTTAAGATTTATTTATGCATACAAGAGCTGGGGTATAGACCAGAGAGGCAGGGGGTGAGAGGACTCACCAGAGACAGAGTGGGGAGCAGAACAGGCGGATCTACTGAAATACACTGCTGAGGGGAGCAGCGGGTAAGACAGGAGAGGTCTGCCAAGCCATGTAGGATTCTCTCTGACCCACCGGGGATTGAACTCGTGCTGCAGAGGCTGTGGATTGCTTCATAGTGCGGTGCTTAACCCCTTGCGCCACCAGGGAGGCCCAAAGTTGGATTTCTTAGGAAAGGGAAGGGAAGGAAAAAAAAAAGAAAGGGACGGAGGGAGGGAGGAGGCAGGCAGGCGAGAAGGGAAGCTGGGAGGGAGGGAGTAGTTAGAACCAGGTTTCTCTGTGGGAACAATTCCTCTAGAGGGACATGTGCCTGCCTGTGTGCAACTGGCTCACTTCACACATTTATGTCGCCAGCCAAAATGCTATAGGCCTCCCGGGTTTGTGACCTGTGTATTACATTATGCTTTTGGCATTCTGTTTTAAAATGCTCTGTCTTCTCTTCTGGAGAAGGGTCCAGACACGGCGCTCCAACTAAGTTTTAGGCCCTTTTGCAGAGTAAAAACAGCAAGTCCAGCTCTCCCAAGCTGACTCCCTCAGGTGACCAAGCAGGGTGGATGATTCTCTTTTCCTTTGCAGGTTGAAAATCTTGGTGTTTTTTTGTTTGTTTGTTTGTTTTTTTAAGGACACACTGTTCTCTTGAGACTCTATTCTCAGCAACACACACACACAAACACACACACACCCCACCCACTCCATCCCCCCCCCCCTTTGCTATGGGTAGCTAGGTGTGGAGCAAGGACTCAGGTGCCCAAAAACTGTTCCCCTTAAAGGGTTTCTTATCAATGTGGAAACTGCATACCTGTGTGTTAAGATTTTGGAGACACCCCTCTTTGCCTCTCTTACTCACCCAGAGGTAGAGTTACTGGCAATCAACAAAAGCCACAGCGCATAGCAACTGCAAGATAAAAGTTACTGCTGACTGAACACCATGAACTGGTGGGTGCCAGACATTTCCCTCCCTGCCAGAGCACCTTATGTGCTACATTGGTCTTTGCCAAGCTGATGTGATCCAGGAGTTGCCAGTTGCCTTTCTAAAGCTTTACAAAAGGGGCTGGAAGCTGGTCTGGAGACACCTGTTGCCAATATGCAAGCCAGGAAACTTGGAGAGGCTTCCACTTCCCCCACACCTGCTGAGGACAATGAGCAGGCTCCGGTTCTCACTGGCAAATGGCTTGTTTTTACCATTGGAAGCCAGAAGAAAATCACTCCATCTATTGGATCTCTGTCCCATGTCTGGAGATTGGGGAGGGATACAACCTTTATTTCATCAAACTCATTTGAAACAGGAAAAGCAAATTAATTAAGAGTTTACAATAGAGACTTTCATCTCTCCATTCATCAGAATGACTTCTTAAAAAAGAAACTGTAAGATGCCTACTTAATAACAATTCTCCCCCACATCTGTGCATACAGAAGACATTTGTATGGAGGTGGCAATGTACCCAACTTAACACAAACCAACCAACAAAAAAATTCATTTTCCAAGTTCCCTTGCAGACAGATGGCCTTATGAGGCTGACTACGGAGATGTAAGCTGAAGTTAACAAGTAGGACATCTAAGAAAGAGAACAAATCTGGCTGGTTTGGCCCTGTACCTTTTATCCTTTGCCCTTCACTTTCTCTCTGCTATGAAACATGGTGCCTGGATCTCCTGCAGCCATTTTGTGAGCATGAGGAAGAGGACAACACTGAAAGGATTATTGAGAGGAAAGAGGAAGAAGATCATGACATTTGCAGATAGAGACAAATAATACTTATAGCATTAGATTTTTACAATTTATTTTTTTTTACCAGAGTCTCGGTCTCCTGAAATATATTACTTCCCTTTCATGGGTTTTACAGGGATTAAATATCTCAAAAAGACTGATAGGAATCAATCAACCCAATCAACAAATAAAGCATTCCTTTCTCCCTTCCAATAAGAGCTCCAGATTCAAGGAGATGGTTAAGCCAGCAGTACTTGCTACTGACTAACACTTTCAAAATAGGTTCTGTCTAAAGAATTTTTTGATTTGGTGTCAACTGGCATGGATACACACTGAATAAACAAGGCCCTAGGCAAATGAAAGTGATTCCCTTCAAGCAGCAGAAACCCTACGTAAGTAACAGGCATTCTTGCCAGACTAAAGCAGAGAGGAGGTATGGCTTTATTCAGTAGGGACCCAAGGTCATCTGACATAAAGTGACCATCAGGAAGTATCCCAGATCTGTCTGCAGCTGAGAGATTCATCCCTCTGTGAATTACAGCAAAATGGAAATGCGAAAAGAGAGAGCAATCCATTGTATGGCTTGTATATAAAGAGACAAAGACAAGGTTTGCTACACACATTAGTTTGATACATATACACAAACAAGTCGCAAGTGAACAGGTGATCTTTTCCAGTTATTTCCACTTATTAAGAAAATACAGTATCCCACAATTTCTCTTTCCTAACCAGAAGTTCTTTGGTATCCCAGAATCTGAGAACTTCCTTCTCTTTAAAGCAGATGTCAGCAAACTTTCACTATAAATAGCCAGAGTAAATATTTCAGGTTTTGCAGTTCATGGAGTCTCTGTTGCAACGACTCAGCTCTGCTATTGCAGCTCTGCTTTTTTGAAAGCAGCAGTTGATCATAACTAAAGGAACGGGGTGTGGTGCTGTTCCAATTAAATTGCATTTACAAAAACAGGTGGCCTATAGTTTAGCACTCTCTGCTTTTAAAGGCAATGGGAACTATGCAACACCAAAGAAACATTTTTTATCTATAAAACTCTTACCAATCATCCCTACAGTGAAACAAGCCAGAGGACTTGAAGTAAAAACCAGCAGATAAAATGGAATGAAATGGGAGAGAAGGGGTATTCCTACAACATTTGAAACAAGAGACTATCATGCAAAGCCAAAGACTCAAATGTTCCTAGATGAATGCAAATTGTCTGCAGAGATAGGCAGACAATGTGACCTGATTGCATAAAACGGTTAAGATACATAAATTCAAGTGAACACAATAATCAGTGGACTACAACATGGGGCTTCTTATGAAGGTCACGATACTAAACGGGAATCACCAGAAAGAATTTCAGCCAGTGAGTTAAGCATGAAAGTGACCCATTAAGTGACTCCTTAGGAAAAAAGGAAGATTTAAGGCAAGGGCTTGGGGCTATAACCCTAAGAACAAACCCAAATTGGTGCCCCCAAACACATGAGACACACACCCCCCTTTCCTGGCCCCAGCACCACTTGGCTTGGTGTCCTGTCACTGCTTTCCTTTCTTCCTTACTCATGTGCAAATGTTCATATGCGCACGTATTGTATGATGCAAATACCTTACATGGGATAGAGAGAGAGAGATGAGAAAAATAGAGAATGCAATGGAGAAAGTTAGATCCAGAGGAGACTCAAGGTGTCTGAAAGGCCAGTCTCTTGGCTGTTCTGAGGCTAGGTTGCTATCTTAAACAATGTACCATGGTTTCTACTATTCTGCCTGCTTTGAACTCTCCTAACTTTCCTTTTGTAAATAACACAACAGTTATGAAGTACTGACATCACTCTAGTGTTCTAAAGCACATTAGACATACTTGGATTGATCCTTGGGATGCTCATTACCTGGTGAGGTAGGTTGAATTATTATTGTTCTCATTGAGTGGGAGACAACCAAAGCACAGAGAGGTCAAGCGTTTTTCTCAGTGCTTCACAGCAAAGAGATAACGGAACTGGAAGTGGGACCCAGGCAGTGTGGTCCAGAGTCCATATACTCAACTACCACATTATGCTGAGTTCACAGTCTTCCCCTTCTGAATCCAAACAGCCAACCCTGAGTGAGCACCTTGCATCAACAACTCCACTCACCCCTCCAGTGTACATTAGTG